AGGAGGCATCCCAATCTCAGATGTCAAGTTATATTGCATGATAAAAACATGGTGGTACCATAAAACACAGACATATGAATCAATGGAACAGAATAAAGGATGCAAAAATAATCATAGGCATATTCAGTCATTTGATCTTTGATAAAAGGAGTCATGATAACTTCTTTTACAAATGGTACTTAGAAAAGTTATACACACAAAGTAGATTGATTCTACACCCGTATCTATCACCACATACCAAAGTAAAAGCAAAATGAATCAAAGACCTGAATATTAAAACAGAAACAATCTATTGGAAGATAAAATAGGTATAACTCTTAAAAGACTTAGGCATAGGCAAGTACTTTCTGAACAGAACCCAAACTGCATAAGAACATCAGGCATCAGCAAATGGGATTATATAAAATGAAAAATCAGCACAGCAAAGGAAACCAATACAGTGAAGGAACAACCTACAAAAAGAGCTTTTACTAGCTATTCAACATGCAGAGGACTAACATCTATAATATAAACAGAAGTCCAAAAAAAAAAAAAAATCATGCCCCCAAAATAAAAGATCTAAGCAGATAGACCCAGAGCGCAGGCCCGGCGAGTGAGTGAGACGACCAGGGGCCTGTGGGATCCTGAATAAACCCAGAGCGCAGGCCCGGTGAGTGAGTGAGACAACCCGGGGCCAGGGATCCTCATTCCACCCAGGCTGCAGGCCCATTATGGAACCCTTCAGCAGAACTCCCTGCAAAGAGGCTAGAGGCAAGACCCACCCAGCTGATTCAGGAGCAGAATATCCCAGAGAGACACAAAGGGTTCAACTCTAATGCCTGCAGCAGAAAGAAGTGGAGCACAGCAGCCAGATCCAAGCAACACCCAACTGAAGGAATCAGAACTTCGTAGATCCGGACCTGGTGCTAAGGTAATAACTCTTATCTAAGCTCTACACCAAACGTCAGAAGACGGTGGTATACAAAATGACAAAGAGAAGGAATAAAATGCAGTCTCAGGCCCCGAGTCCACCCAGTACAAATGTAGAAGACACTAGCACTGAGGAAACTGGAAATCACACACCAGATATCTCGGAAATAATAGTGTTGATAGTAAAGAATCAACTGCAGAAAGGTATAGAAGAAATCAGATCAGAAATAATTTCGGAACTTAAAAATGTAGTGGTAACTATAATCGAAGTACTAAGTGCTTCTAAAGAATACACTGATAAAAAATAGAGGAGAATATAAAAATGATGGAACCCCTGAATAAACAATTTAGGAAAAAAATAGAATCTATGAAACAGGTTCAAAGTGATATACAGGAAATTAAAACCTCAATCACAAGCTGGCAAAACCGTTTGCGTGAAAGTGAAGATACACTTTCTGACCTGAAAGACACCATTGCAGCTAGTGAAAAAGTAAGAAAGGATCTCTAAAAAAAACAAGGATGCAGGAAAAAATAATTCAACACCTGCAAGACGATGCAAAGAAGAACAATGTGAGGTTAATAGGCATCAATGAGAAGGAAGGAGTCAATACAAATGATATAAAAAGAATATAGGCAGAATAGCAGAAAACTTCCCAAATATGGGGAACAATCTGACATTCCTGTAATCGAAGCATATAGAACTCCAAATAATATCAATCCAATGAAAATCACACCCAGACACATAATAATCAAGATTCCAGAAATTCAGCATAGGAACAGTATACTAAAAGCCGCTAAAGAAAAGAAACAGATCACATTTAAAGGAAAACCCATCAGAATAATGGCAGATTTTTCTTCACAAACCATCAAGTCAAGAAGAGCATGGAGCAGAGTACTTCAAGTCTTGCAAGAAAAAACAAATTCCAACCCAGACTGATATATCCTGCAAAACTATCTTTCAAATATAATGGAGAAGTGAAATATTTCCATGACAAAGAATTAAAGAATTTCATGATGACAAAGCCAAGCCTACACAGACTACTAAATGACATTCTAGAGGGAGCAAATTGATCACAGCCCCATGAATGAGAATGGAAAGAACCCGCCAAATAGGGCAAACAAACAGAGGAGAATAAAAGGTATACAATAGTAGTCTTTCAGTTATTCTTTTGTGTTCAGCAGCAGAATATTTTCATCAGCACACTCTACAAATGGACTTCTCTTCCACCCTATGGGTCATGATTCCACTTGAGTCTACAGGGTGGATTTCAAAGAAATAGCTGTAGCTCACTTCCACAAGTGACGCCTAGCCACCAGTAACTGTCATGGTCATTATGCATGTCCACAACACACTAGAACTTTGTGTGATATCCTATCCTCAAACGGTTAGAAGTGCTGGTCATTTTCTTGCCATTCCAGTATTTATCTTATATTTTACTCTTAGTACTTCTTTGCTATCATGAAAACTTTTCTTAGTTCAATTGTTTGGAAACATTTAATTTTCTGAATATTGCTTAATCTTAATTTTTGTTCTAAAATCTATACTGTATCTTTGACTTAAAATTTATTTAAAAGAAAAAATAAATTAACAAAAAAAAATCTAAGCACTTGAGAGACTGAGGCAGGAGGACCACCATAAGTTCAAGGCCAATCTGGGCTACATAGTGAATACAAGGAGTTCAAGGCCTGTGTGGAATACATAGTAAAACCCTATCTCAAAAAAAAATTAAGTGGCAAATGAAATGAACAGGCATTTCAAATGACCAATAAACACATGAAAAAATGTTCAACACCACTGGCTACTTGAGAAATGCAAACTAAAACAACACTGAGATTCCATCATACTCAAGAAAGAAGGGCTATCATCATGGAATCAAACAACAAAACTTCTGGTGAGGTTTTGAAGCCTAAAATAATTTGAAGAGCAAAATAAGAGAGATAATAGAAAACAGAAAGACATATCTTCTATAAAAGGGAAGAGGAGCAATAGATGGAGGGCAAGAGGATGATGAGAAAGAGGGGAAAAAAATGAAGATGTGTTTATAGACATATACCAACATCCCACAATGAATATAATCATTACATGCTGTATACATGTAGCATTTTTTTTCCCCTGCCCAAAACAGGCATGGTTGAGGCCCAGGGTGTCCCCCCATGACAGGCCCCGATAAAACCCCTCAGTGGTCACAGGTAGCTTCTTTTTTCTTGGCGGAACCAGGGATTGAACTCAGGCCCTTGTGCTTGCCAGGGATGCACTTATTCTACTGAGTTATCTCCCCGGCCCCTATCTTTTTTTTAATTTAAAAAAGGTATTCAATCTCCCGGCCTGCCATGTGGGCCCTGTCCTCGGGCACACTAAGACGGCAATTGAGAATGGACGTGGTGGCACGCTCCTATAGTTATCCCAGCTTTGGGGAAGCTGTAAACAGGCGCATCACTATGAGTCCAATCTAGGAGTGAGGCCCTGAACACCCTGTAGACCCTTTCCTAAAATACAAAAAATAAAAAACAAATTTTTAAAAGGCTAAAAAAAAGCAGGCAAAGTACTTCAACTGACACTTCTTTAAAGATAAAGTGCCAATAAACATAAGAAATGATGCTCAACATCATTAGCAACTATGGAACTATAACTCAAAACCACAAGAAAAGACATCTTAGCCAAAAGTGTATCTATAATTACAAAGAAATGTGTTGTAAAAGACATGCAAGAAACTGAACACTCATACTGCTGGCTGAAATGCTACACATACTTTGAAAACAACTTACTAGTTCAAGTCAATCAATATATATCTACCCCTAGATATATATGAAAAAAAGGAAAACATGCCTAACAAAAGCTAATACATGACTGTTCATGTCAGCATTATATGCATAAAAGCCACATGGTTATGGCCATCAACTGGTGAAGAGACCAAAAAAATTAGATATAAATGCACTATGGGGGTGGGGGACTTGGGCTCCCCTTCTGTCCCTCTCTTGGACATAATTTTTTTTTCCCCAAAAAAATATTCTGCTCATGAAAAAAAAAATGTGCTTATGAACTGAGGGTTTGGGGAGAGCCATCCCTCAAAGACAAACACCATCTTGCAGTGTGTTCATGTGGCAGAAGAGGCTAGGGGTTTTCAATAACTGGCACTAAGAGCACTCACGACCTAATTACCTCCCAAAAAAGATTTGGGAGCTGGGGAGATAGCTCAGCAGAATAAGTGCTTGCCAGCCAAGCACAAGATGCTGAATTCAGTCCCCAGTACACCAAAAAAAAAAAAAATTGCATACAAACTGGGTGTGGTGGGACTTAAATTTAATCACAGCACTCCGGAGGCTGAAGCAGGAGGACCACCATGAGTTTGAAGCCAGCTTGGGATACATCAGGAGTTTAAGACCAGTTTGAACTACATGAGACCCCCGTCTCAAAAATGGAAAAGCAAAACCAAAACAAACACAAAAAGAGTAGATGCAAATAATCTAGTAGAAAAGAAATCAAGAGATTGATTTTGAAGAAGAAATCAAAATTATCTGTTAAGACAAGAGGCAAGTTGATGGAGACAGGTTAGCAGGATTTAAGGAATGTCTCAGTGAATATTCAGAACATATTTGAAAGTGATGAGTAAATGAATTGATGGGTAATTCTGAGAAGAATGTTCAGGTTGGAGATAATTTTAGAAGACTGTCAGCCTAGAGAAGCTGGTGGTATAGCTCAGTCCATGTATTAAAGCTTCAGAACCAAGGTATAACTCTCAATTTGAGTTCACAGGACAAAAAATATGGCCAAAGAACCCATTCTGATGGTCAAATGAAAGACAAGAATGATGTCCCAGTTCTAGGACAAGGAAAAACAAATTTGCCCTTCCTTGCTCTTTCTTTAATCCAGGCCTCAAAAGACCCACCAAGATCTATAAAGGCAGATCTCCTTTAGTTAGGCTATTTCTCAAATCTCTTCCATAGACATCCTCACAAATATATCCAGATATAATTCTTTACCAATTATCAAGGTATCTTTTAATCTGGTCAAATTGCTCAAAAGGTACAGCAAGGTATTTTCCATAAGCTAGCAGTAAGGAGGACATTTAATATTTCTTACTTCTACATACCTGATAAATGTTTAAGACTCTTTGGTACAGTGTCTGGAGAGAACCTCAACATTCTAAGATTTGAAGAACGATGTTCTAACTCTCTGGTTTGTTCATAAGGAATAGATTCGGGCAATACAGATGAAAAAGACTGATTAATGCCCAGATGAGAACGATCTACCTATGAAAAGAGAAAAAAAATGAAGAAAATAAAATTATAAAATTACATACTTCAAGTGATAACAATCAAATCTCACTGTTATAAAACTGAACACTAAACAGTTACTAACAATTACTTGAGATCATACTACCAATCTCCCAAAGTTATATACTTGTTTGGTCAACTCTGCTTTATATAATATTCTATGAGTCTAGAAATTTTCTGCTACCTAGTTTGCTCTTTATGTTAGTAATCATTGAAGGATTTGAACCAGTTTCATTCTTGATGAGTGCAAGGATTTTCTTAGGGAAGAAGTATGCTGTGGGGAAGAATGAAAAGGAAAGATGGAGCAGGGATTTTTTAAAACACAAATAGAAGAAAAATGTAAGCTTCAAAGAAGTATAAAAATCACAAGTACCAAAACTCCTAAGCCCTTGAACTTCTTGAAACAAAAGTAGAGAGTTTCACATGGTGGTACATGTCTGTATTCCCAGTATTAGGAAGGCCATGAGTTCAAAGCCAGCCTGGACTATACAGTGAGTTCAAGGCTAAAACACACAAGACCCTGTCTTAAAAAGAGAGGGCAATATAAATTGATATAAACGCTGAATAAAGTTCCCTCAGATTCCACTAAGTCCTGCATAGAACAGAAATCAGAAACCATTATTGCTGGCATAAATCAGAAATATGCACTACCTTTTCTACCAAATTCACAATATACTCATATAAAAACAATATACCACTTTCTGCTCCCTGAAAAGATTAGTCTAGCTATGCTGTCTCAGGAACGAGTTCAAATTGCCCTCTTTAAAAAAAAAAAAAAGACACTGGCCTTTTTCCAATTCTCATGAAGTTAGCAAGGTATAGAAATAGTCTATATCTACTGTCCAAATAGGTTCCCCTGGACTAGCAGTCCCCAGTGGAAGATCTTGTACTCCAGAAAAGAATATTTGGCAATGCCAGGAGACAGTTTTTATTGTCATCAGCTGCGAAAGGGAGGCTGTTTCATACCCAGTGAGTAAAACCCAGAGACCTACGAAACATCTTAAAATATACAGGACAGCCTCTGGGACAAAAAATTATCCGATGCAAAATGATACCAGTGATGGAAAGCCCTTCCCTACACATAGCCCAGTTTTAAATTTTTCAATTATCCCAATTCTAAAAGAAAATTTTTGAAATACAGCTCATTTGTCTGTGTGTATGTTGAGTGTGATAGACACCTGTGATAGAGCACATCTGTTGTGTGTTTTAAGTTATGCCCATGACTTCCAAATGTAGGACAAAAAACCTATCACAATCCGGACTCTAAAAAATTTCATTATATCCATTTTAAAATGCAGAATAATTTCAGTAGGTAATACAAAAGTAAACTTAGGAAAGGAGGGCATTTAAAGAAATCAGATCTTCATTACTAATTGAAAATGTGAAGAACCAGAAGAAAATATCCCAGTCTGTTTTACTGTTTTTAATCAACAATAACGGAAGAACCAAAGATGGTTAAAAAACTAGAAAAATAACATTTCTATAAGAATTTAGGAATCAACAAAGTATCTGATATGGAGAAAAATATAAGCTAATTTGATAAAGGTAAGCTAAATGACATGATTACATTCCCCAAGAAACTTTATACAAAGTACCCTAAGGATCTAACTCTTCTAAAAAATAAAGATGATGATTATGCATATAGGATTCTAAGCCTTAAGAAAAAACTACTGACCTCAGGGGCTCTTAGCAAGAGTATCTAGAAGTAATCTGCACCAAGCCAACAGCTGCAGTAACTACAGTTTCAACTTCAACTCCATGATGTTTCCCTTGGCCAAAAATACATTAGGTCGTTTTCCAGTTTGAAGCATTCAACAAATGCTAGCAAGGCAGAGCCACTAGAAACATACACCTGATTTCCATGACAAATATGGTAATGCTATATCAGTCGGTAGAGCCACATTTTGTATTGCTGCATGGACCTATACAGCAACACAAATTGGAACAGAATGGAACCTTTCCCCTGTTGGCAGAGCCACCTCCAAGGAATGGAGAGATCAGTAATCACTCCAGCTGATATGATACAGATAAATTATTTCTAAATGAAATCATAATTGATGCCAAGTAAAAGCACTGTGTATCCATTAAAATATGGTCTATTGAAAAAATAAAGTACAGTGGAAACCTTAAAAAAAAAAACCAGGGCCGGTGAGATGGCTCAGTGGAATAAGCGCTTCCCTGGCAAGCACAAGGGCCTGAGTTCAATCCCCGGTTCTGCAAAAAAAAACCAACTACAGATCTGTGAAGGTTGTAAAAGAAAAGTCATATGAAACCAAAAGAAAACAAATATATGGCTCAAACCTTACACAGTATTTATATTTAAGTGGCCAAAATAAAACATATTAAAATAGTATTTTAATATATGCTGCTACCAAGATCAAGGAGAAACCTGTTGCAACACCCTAAGGATTCTTTCATGTAAAAGGTACAGGAGCTCCCCAAGACACCAACAGAACTCACTAAATCTTATGGTCTATAAAACCTTTCCTTTCTGGCAACTTGTAATAATTAATGGAGTGTATTCCTGGATAACAGATGAAGATTTGGTTATAAGTCAAAGTTGAAATTAGGGAATATAAGTGGGCATTTTACTTTCATTTCCATTTTTTAAAATAGCCTTTTCTCCACCCATAAGAAATGGCAAATAAATAAACTTACAGACTTTAAATTGCTCTCCTCCTCAAGCTGTTGCTGTAAAGTGGGTTGCCAGTGCTGGGAGCCTTCACAAAGTTCATCAAGCAAATCCTCTAAAGCTTCTAGGTTAACACACTCACCAGTCATATCATGTTGATCACATGTCTGGGAAACAGTAAAAAATACAATAAATACAATAAAACAATGTATTATGTTCATGTATCAATCTCCAAGAGAAATATAATCATTATATACTGCAAACGTGTACAAAGAAACAAAAATTTTGAAAAAACAAATAATACATCCTGAAACAGTACTGGAAAAGATCACATTTCCCACAAGCACTATTTTCTTGTACCTCACCTCTCTTCGCAGCTCAGCAACTCTTTCACTGCACACAACAGCTTTTTCTTCCAGGCAACAGCACTCAGTATCATCATCCAGGGTGACATCAGAGTCAGCATTCCCCTGCAGGCCCTCTACAAAACAGGAGTCATTTTGCGTAACTGTATGTATAGTAAAACTGCACTCAGCTCCCATAGGCCAAAGAATTTCACCTTGGCTTCTGTCAGCTTTCAACAAGGTCTACTGGCCAACTGTAATTAATGATGCATCACCAGTCAGCGGTAAAGTATCTTCTGACTGCATCACAGGCCACAAAGTTTGCCAAAAAGCTGCTTCCAACAGCTTCAGGTGGGCCTTCAATGGTATCACTAGAGTTTACATCTTTACCAAATTATAGTCTGAGGAATCTGCAACTTCTTCAAAGATTTACTACTTTAAATCTTATGAAACCAAAGAATCTGAAGCTGATACTTTCATTGTGTAAACAATGTTTAAAGTGCCTACCTTCTCTGCAAGGTGAAGAGTAGAAACAAGACTTTATCCTCCCAATGGGAAGAAATAGCTCATTGTATAAGTCACACTGAAATAAAGCTGATTGTGTTTTGCCAAGACCAACAGCCTGACTATAAAAGTTTTCACTTACAGAAGCAGATGACTTAAGCTCTGGAATAGGAGGAAGTGGCTTAATGAGCATTTTTTTGAGGTGTATTAGGGGGTGATTTTAAATTTCGATACCAATATAAGAAGCTAGCATCATCATCTTTATGCAACAAAGATTCTGAAGCTGCTTGTTCAAAAACCCTAGGAGTAGACAGTTTGGATGTGTAAGCTTATCAAAGAGTGAGCTTTCATCATTATAGTAAGTTAAGGGGGAAGGATCTGGATTTGGTTCTCATGGTACCCATCTTTTAAAGATTTACTGATGTCAGTTTGGATTTCACTTAATGTATTCTCTTTCTTGGAAGGCTCAATAGCGGCAAAAACTGCCTCAAAGGCTACATTTTCAGTAGCATCAACACTTTTCTCACCAAATACAGAAGTTGCTTTGTGGTTTCTTTTCTCTTGAAAACACAGTTGTTTTGATGTCTCATTCAAGTTGGATTTAACATCTGAAGAGGACCACCAGAAGTCTCCAGCTTAGACATACCATGTCCCCTGGAGAGCATATGTACTTCTGAAACTTTTACAGTATTATCAGGAACTATAAAGTTCCTAATACATTTTATCTCTGTACCTCTGAAGACACCAAATCATTTCTAGTCTCTTTTTGTTTAAAATGTTGGCGTAATTCTTTCTGCAGACCTTCATTTCTTTCATAACCCTCCAAAGAATCTGTGTTTTGTTTCAACTCATTCTCGGCTTGTGCCCTTAAATAATCATTCTTATAATAGTAACTATCAGAGGTCAAGGGAACTCCCTTTCCTCTTCTTTCCAACAAACACTGCAAAAAAGAATATGACATTTTATTATGAGGAGCAGTATCATATGGAAAAGAAACCAGATCCTTATCAGTTAGACATGCCTCTGCTCGCTGTAAAGCCTCAGGTTCCAACACTGCAAATCTGAATAAGAAGCAACAAAACTGTCACTTCTTTTAGTAACTCCATTTTCATAACTAATATGAGATAAAAATGAAACTGAAACTTGATCTTTATCACCCAAAATACTTTCTTGCTGCTGTATATCTTTTTCTGTCTTCCATGACTTATGTGAATAAAGAACATCATAATTATCATAGTCTTTGGGGGTTTTCAGTTCGTCAACAATATCAGATAAAATATTGTCTTCATTATTCTCTTGTTCAGAAAATAGCACAGAGCCCCAGCAGTTGTGTTACCTGTAATTGAGTGCTGGGATATACTAAAGCAACTGCTAACAAAATCTGAAGGTACTTCTAAGGTGGCCTGGAATAAAGCTTCACTAACTTCCGATGGTCGAGAAAACCATTCAGTGTCTTCAGACTTATCAGGAATTCCTCTGAAAATATACAATTACATATAAGTAATACCTTAAAAACAATTAACTTGTAAATATTGACATGAAAACACAAAACTAGTATTTCACTAAAGTCAAGTCTATTTGAATGTGTATTAAGAAAACCACAGTTCTAATTTCAAATTCTTTTAAGTAAACTTTTTTTTTTTTTTTTTGTGGCCAGCACTGGTGCAGCATGTGATGCCAGGGACTGAGTTACAGTTGGCCTAAGCCTGCCTAAGCAGGTGCTTTAGACCACTGAGCTACATCACCAACCCAAAGCAAACTTTCTGTAACCAGAAAGTAAAATAGCTCAATCATCACTGGTCCTGATATTATCTCAGATTTCTCCTAAAACCAAACAAAACCTTACTTTCATATAACCATAAAGGCCTTTAAATGATAAAGTTAAAAATCTTTTAAACTTTACTACTATGAATTTTAGTTTATGACCTACCATGACTTAGTATTCATTTAACTAACATTAATCTTTTACTGGTCATTTATTATGCTTGTAAAAATCACAAAATGGTAACTCTCACAAGTACAACAGTATTTGAATTTATACTTAATCATTGGCTGACAATCTAATCATGCAGAGTACTTCCATAAAAGTGATTTTATTTATTTTATTTATTTCCTTTTTTTTTTTTTTTTTTTTTTTGCAATACTGGGAATTGAACTCAGGACCTTGCACTTGCCAGACAAGCGCTTATTACACTGAACTGTCTCCCCAGCCCATAAAAGTGATTTTAAAGTAATAAATAAAAGTATAAAGGCAGGGTTGTTGTTACTGGTTTTTTATCTTCTAAGCATCTAGAGTTTCTAATTTAAGGTAGATTATTGCTTTAGTTCTAAAAGGAGAAAACTTAGATTCTTGGATAATTTCAAATATTTTTTGAAGAATTACACTTTCTCCTATTGTGATTATTCTAAAAGACATCAATCTGTAATTTCTGTTATAAACATCTTTCTATTTCATATTCACATGTATTACAAGGCAAAGAGAGCTCTAGAGTTGATTCAATAATATCCGACCAAAATGAGAGTGCAGAACAAGTAAGCTAAGAATAAGCAGGGTGTTTGTTTTGTAGGAGGAGAGTAAGAGGGAGGAAGGGGATGACTACAGCACATGCAGAAGTTCATAATAAGGAAATTCTTATGTCTTATAGTTAAAATATGCCTGAAATACTAGAATGCATTGGAAACTATTTCTAAATAAACTATGGGAACCAAACAGATCTTTACATATATATTGCTGTACAAAATTAGTATGCATTGTTTAGGGTCTTGTTAATTTCAGAGGTTGTACAAAGGAGATCTAACCCTTATTCCAAAGCCCCACCTTCACATCGTCATTACTACTAATAACATCATATAAGGGTAGAAGCAAATAAATCATCCTACCTCAGAGGCGCAAAATCTAGTTCACTTTGGTGAAATAAGGAATCAGGCCCAAATTCTTGGTCTTGTGTCAAACAGGTCAACAAAGGCAAATCAGGAGAAGCAAAGCTATCCTGTATGACTGTAATGTTTCAAATATAAAAATGCTGAGCAATCTAAAAATGGATCATTTAACATGCTCATGTCAACATTTAACACTCATATTAAAACGTGAATAAGCTACCATCTGGACGTTTCTATAAATGTTAGAATAATAATATAACAATAGTAGCTGCCCTTTATTAAGCCTGATAAGGTCCTGATACTTAAATCTCTTTCATTTAATCCCAAAGACAACCCTGACAATCTTTCCTGACATAAACTCACTTTGTGGTAGTGTTGTTGTTATATGACCTCCTAGAAAACTTTCAGATATGTAACATACATACATATATTTTCTTAGCATAACAGATCTTCAGAGTTTTCTCCTTCATCTACTACCATAGCCATCTTTTCCCATAAAAGTAATCTAATTTCATTAGTATTTTTCTTCCCATGCGGGCTTAAAGTTGATTTTAATAATTCACATTGATTTGGATTGGACATTAGGTTATATTTGAAAAAACCTTGTGACTTAAGTTTTGTTAAGGCTTGTGTCTAGATGTCCTTCCAAAGCCTGATGTGGTCATAGGTAGGACTTTGCAGAGGTGGCTGGATCTACAATGCGTGAAGCTAGGATTAAGTGTGTGATGCTGGGATCAAGGGTGTGTAGTTACTAAATTAGTCCACTGATTGCTGTAGCATAGTTTTGAGAATGCATTGTGGGAAGGCCCTCCCTGACTATGAATGCTACCCACAAAGAAGGCATGTGAGATGGATAAAATATAAGGGACAGAGAAGGCTGCTGTTTACCACTTGCTACTCCACTGCTTTACTGTCTCCTGTTTGCTTTGCCATGAACTGTTTCTCCTCTGCGATGCTCATCTGTCAGGCCACCCTACCTTGGACCCAGCCAATCATGAAATGAAATCTCTATGACTGTGAGCTAAATAAACCTTTCCTCCTTTAATTTGGGGTGCTGGAATTTTTCTCAGCAACAAAATAAAGTAACTATGATCTTCAAAGTTTGTTTTTTACAAAGACATAACAAATTATTCTATAAGCAAAGGAAACCAGTAAGATCTACTTCAGATAAGTCACTTAACCTCTCTATCTCAATTTTTTGGTCTCAAACCAGAAGTTTTGTTTGTTTGTTTTGCGGTCCTGGGGATAAAACTTAGTACCCTGTGCTTGCCAGGCAAGCACTTACTCTACTGAGCTATCTCCCCAGGCCCTTCAAACCAGAAGTTTTAACTAATTCTAAGAATAAAATGAAGTAAGTATGGACATTTGGTCTTTTTTGGGTTTTAGAGGATATGGGATCTCCAACCCTGAGCAAACAAGTCAAAGGATAATACATGGTTTACCCAAAAACAACTCTGCCAATTCAGAACTAATTGGGCACAACCTCTAGAGAGGAGGTTATCACCTTTCTCCCTTTCAGCAGGGTGTGGAAAAATTGGGGGCAGCTGCACATTTAACATAACTAGACCAGATGGCCAGGGTAGAAAACTAGAAATAAGCTATTTCCTGGTTTTGGGGTTTTTTTTGTTTTTTGTTTTTTTTTTTTTAAGAGAAGGGTCTACAGGGTGTTAAGGGTCTCACTACTAGATAAGACTCCTAGTGATTCACCTGTTTACAGCCTCCCAAGAGCTGTGATTACAGGTGTGCACCACCAAGCCCAGTTTCAATTGTTACGTCAGTGTGCCCTGGGGGCGGGGCCAACACTGCAGGCCCAGGGATTGAACCCCAGGCCCTTGCGCCTGCTTGCAGGCACTCTAATCCACTGAGCTATTTGGCTGGCCCTATTTCCTTTAGTATGGCTCTACAAAGCTCAACTCAAAAAGAACTTAGTTAAGTACAGGACTTAGCAGTACCCCCCTCCCAAACTGTTTTACATTGTGAGGTACTACTTCTCATTTAAAATGCAAAGATATTACCTAGCAATGGAGAACATAAAAGATTTCTGTTTGGTTCCTTTACTTGATCTTCTGATTGGACTAATACACCTTCCTCCAGAGAGAGAAAGTTGGTCATTTCATTTCCTTTCAGTTTCACATTAATCCCCATCTGAGAAGCATCCAATGTTAGGGAAGAATCTATTTCTTGAGGAAGGCATTGCCAAGATTCTGGTTTCTAAAACAATAATTTTAGAGGAAAATTATTTTATTTAAAATAAAGTTTAGAATCATTAAATGAAATGATATGCACATTAACATTTATATTAAAAAGCCCACTCATGCAACAGTGTTCTATTTTATGATATTCTCAAAGCCTCAAAAGAGTAAAACTGTTCTAAATTCTCATACTATGAACACTTCATACCTCTTTCTGTTGTACCCATTTCCTACACTGCTCACAAATCACTAGCATTTCTGATAGATTTTAAATTTGTTCTCATCATAAAATCAATTATTTCTACCTGATAAAAATTTTAGACTATAATAAACCTGAAAAATAATTTTTTCAAACTTATCACCAATTTACTGAATTTTATTACCTACAGCAATTTCTAGAAGACTTCTGGCTCTTCTCCGTATGTAACACTATCATATCACCCATGAATAGTAACATGTCTCTTTCAAACAGTTACACTTATATCGTTGTATATTTTAGAGTAATACTTCTTTAAACTATGGTAAAGGATCAGTTTTTCCTATTTCCAATTCATTCTGCAACTTTACTGAAGTACTCATATAAATTAGTAATAACTAACTTTTTAAGGCAGCAAAAACAAAAAAATGAAACTCGAAAAGGTATTATAACTTCAAAATACAAGCTATGAGCCTAAATGTTTGCTTTCAAGTTCTAAAAAAAAGTAATATTACTCTGTCAGATTCATAGAAAATTTCTAAGTACTTCTCAATTTCTGTACTTATCTCTTGACAGACCAGTAATAAGCAATCCATGAACTGACACCAACCCCCAAACACAAAGCAACAATGAATTAGTTACATTAGATATTAGAAGTGATAAGTTTTAAAAGTAATTTCCTTTCAAAAATAATATTAGTTAATAATTAAGCATATTTTCCTATCCTAGAATAAAAGTATTGGTCATTTTCAAAATAATTTAACTAGAAACTAGTCATAACTTAGATCAAACTATATGGTATTAGCCTTTTCCTCTAATTACACAAAAGAATAGCAATAAATTTCCTTCTATTAAAATATCTTCATATTTATTATTTGTAATAGTAGGTTTGATTTTCTTTTTCTCCCTCTAGGACTGGGGAGTGAACCAAGGCCTTCACACTAAGCTGAGTTTGTTTTTATTTTTGAGACAGACTTCCTAAGTATCTTGACCAAAACCAAAACAAAAAAAAAAACCTATTTGCAGAAAGCTTTCCAAATTTGAGAAAAAAAATTAAAAAATCCAAAATACTGGTAAGTAAGGGAGATGGAACTCCAAATAGACACATCCATAGAAGAATTTCTCCATCACACATCATGATCAAAATATGAGGCCTAACCTTAGGACACAAGCTTAAAAGCTCTTAGAGAAAAGCCATAAACCACTTCTAAACATAAACCTGTTAGAATTATAATAGACGTCTTAACATAAATGTTAAAGGCCAAAAGAACTTAGAATGAATTTCTTCAACCCTAAAAGAAAACTACCATTTGAGACTAATATATGATGCAAAACTATCATTTAAAATTGATAGAGAGGCTGGGGAGGTAGCTTGGCAGTCTAAATGCCAGCCTACCAAGTGCAGTCACTGGAGTTTGAGCCCCAGAACTACATGTTATGCCAGCCCTGGAACCTGGTGTACTGTGCAGCCACTAAGACCAGGTATGGTAGCGCACACCTGTCATCCCAGAGCTGGGAAGGCTGAGACAAGATGATCACTCTGAGTGTGAGCTGCATAGTGAGACCCTGTACCAAATAAATAAATAAATAATTTTTTTAAATTTAAAAAATAAAATTGATAGAGAAATAAAGCCTTTGACCAAAAAAAGCACATTCACAAATTCATGTGCAATAAGCTGGCAGTCCCAAAAACTTTCAAGGATATCCTAAGAAAGAGACAAGCCATCAATACTAAAAAATCTAATAGCACAAATACACCAGGCAAGGTAAACAGTTAAGCAGAAGGGAAAAAAATCAGCAATAGGAAAATAATGCAACGACAAGAATAGGTCAACACTTTTCAGTATTAATTCTCAATGTGAATGGTCTCAACTACCCAGTCAAAAGTCACAGATTGGCCAACTAAATCAGAAAAGAAAACTCAACAGCATGTTATTTATAAGAAACATATTTAATTTTTTAAAAATCAGCTTAAAAATCAAAGAATGGAAAACAATATTCCATGCAAAGGAACCCCGAAAACAAGAAGAAATAGCTATTGTATTTTCAGATAAAGTGGATTTCAAGCCAAAACTGATCAGAAGAGGCAAAAAAAGGTCACTACATACTGGTCAAGGAAATAATTCAAAAGAAAGAGATAACAATGATAAGCATATAAACAAGGAACAACACACCCAACTTCATAAAACAAATATTGCTGAACATAAAGATCTGATAAAAATCAATATAATGATAGTAGGGAACTGCAGTGCCCCACTGTCACAAATACATCAGGTAGATTT